CACAAAAAGATCTTTCAGGATCATTTAGTACCTTTCTGGCCGTGTCGTTCCACGCAGGTTTCACCTGCTTATGTCACCCCAATTATTTTTAATATAAAGAATTGGAAAATCTTTGTCGGTCTATTCCGAACCGTGACATTTCATAAAAATAACGCTGAGCGGTACTTATCCTCAATGTGAACGAGATTTGGATCTACCGCCTATATTATGGACACATCCAGGTCACAAGGGGACGACCAGGTTGGTGTGACGTAGATTTGGACAAAACCTTTTTTGTGACTCCAAAATATTAGACCCGTATCTGCTACTACTTATGAACACGCCTTGGTTTCGTTAAAAAAAGTTTGTAAGTTGAAATTTTCCGTTTTTTTAAATATTTTTGTTTCGGCGTCCTACTTGCTCAAATAAACTATGTCAATATATCATTTTATAGCGTTTAGTATGTAGAGTGCAATAAAAATATAGTAAAAGGTATCAGAATTTATCAATAACCAAAGAATTTCTAGAAACCAAATTTTTTTGTTCAATGAACTAGGTCATAATTTTTTTACGTGAAACTGATATGAAATTTGGTTTTAGCACTTCTAGAGACCCATAAATATAAACTTTGTTTGAAATTAAATTTATCGATATTTTGACCCCAAATTTTTTTTAAAAGTCGTTATCGGAATATCTGATTTAAATAGCTATAATTCATAAAATGCTAAAAGGATTTTAACGTCACGCATATCATTTGAAAGTAGATGAACGTAGGTTTTTAGAGATGTGTATACCATACAAATACATAAAAGATTAAAAAAAATCAAATAGGAAAATTATTTGTCAGAAATTAACCTAGTTGTTTAAATGGAAATAATAATGCGATTTTAACGTTTGATAATGATTCTGAAATGCACATGACATTTTCTTTAAAACGGATTATCAAGCATGAAAATCGGTTTACCAAGTTTTGAGAAAAATGAAGTTTGAGCCTGCAATAGGAATGTAAGTCACGCAGTATTAGGATGTCGAAATTATTTTAAAAAAAAATTACACCGATTTCCACGAAAGTTTGTATTTAAGGGTTTTATAATGCTAGAATTACGACAATGAGGGCAAATCCAAGTCTTTACCATTTTCTGGCCTAGTTTGCTTTCAGAATATTTCTTAAAATATAAAAAAGCAGTATTTCGTTTATCTTTTTAAATCCTACGAAATTACATCTTAAAACATTTTTGTTAGCCAACAATGAAATAAATACGCCAAAAATAATATTTTTTATATCTTATTCAAACATCGTGAGATGCGGTCTGGTGTGATAAAGATTTTAGAAAAACATTTTCTATCTCGTGGCCGTTTCGATCTTTATTGAGATCATCTTCAGAGCCTGGGATTTACAAACATTGTTTAAATTTAACAAAAACATGTGGGATGTGGAAAAAAGTGAATTTATACAATGCAACAAATATTTTTTTATATTCAGTCAAAGTATTTCTATTCATTCAAAGTGTTTGTTTTCTGTATAATTGTGCCATTGTTGCGTGTCGTGTTGAGAGTGCCAGTGAGATATTGCTGTTTTGTGTTTATATATGTTAGAATTTGAGGGGGTGGGGAAGGAAGTCGGTATAGAAAGACATTTTTGTATAAGACGTCGGCTTCTTATATAAAAAATATATTTTTGGCATTGTTTAAATTCACTTTTTTCCACATCCTACATGTATTGGTTAAGTTTAAACGATGGTTGTAAATCCCAGGCCCTGAAAATGATCTCAATAAAAATCGAAACGTTGGCACGATAAAGAAAATGTTTTTCTGAAAACATCACACAACATCACACCAGACCGCATCTCACGATTTTTGAATAATCTTGGACTTACGGTCATTAATCACCACACATTTTTTATATCTATAAACAACCATTTATGCTCATTTAATTAAATTTACATAATCAAACTTTGAAGTGTAAGATAAAAAAAAGGTTTAGTCTAAATCCATAACACCCCAACCTGCCCTGTTGTCAGATTAAAAATGACCTAGGAATTAACAGTCCAACCAGTGTTTATTTTAAATCCTAAGCCGTTGGAAGCAAAATTGATGATACGGAAGGCTATGAAACAACATGATTGGTCGTTTATCAAGAAGGAAAACAAATTCAAATTATTAAATGTATGATAGCATCTAGGTATATTCTTCTGGGGAATAAATTGGTATTAATTAATATTGATAATACAAATTCTGTGGCTGTGATATACAATCACAAGAAGTGCATTCTGACATTTCAATGTATATGGAAAATCTATGGGAACTAAGGATAAGAAGTCAGTGGAATATTATATTAAGCTAGAAGCCCATGCGGGGCATGACGTAAACGAGAAAGGGGACTAGGTGGCAAAAGAAGCAGCAAGAACGCATTTCAATAACATTAATCAAAATACTTACCCGTACATATAAAACAAGATTTCAAAGATAGGTTGGACCAAATGGACCAAAGCTGAAAAAGGTTCTTAAGGGAATATATACCAACTTTAAAAGAAATGAAATAAACTAATACAAGCCGCACATATAAAACCACAATGATACCGACCATTCATGTTAAAAATCGGTCATATTTAAAATGTTTAAAAATTATCGGTAATTCGGAGTACCCCTTCGGAGGTGTAGAACAGAATTCAAGGCACGCGTTTCAAAATTGTAAAGTTTTCGAAGAAAAAAAATCGTTTGCCGCTGATAAAGAGCAAAATTATGAAAGAAGGATGCCAGTTGGGGTAGGTTTGTGAACAGGTCTCTGATTGGATTATTAGACTTGTCATATTATGATGTTTAAATCGTTTAAATAATAATATATATATAAACAAATAAACGTATATTATAACATTGTAAAATTTGTAAAGTAATACTAACGATGCGAAAATGAGTAATCTGAAAATGGGAACGGATTAATAAATAATAATAAATATACAAATTAAACAAAAAAAAGTAGGCTCGCTGGTTCATTATACTCAAGTTCAACTTGTTGCTCAGTTGTAAACAAATTTAAAAAAATGTTAAAAATTTAGTAAAATACATGTCTAAAGTTTATATTTTAAGAATGGATAGATTTTTGAACTAATTATCTGTTACTAATTACCTCTTGTTTTACAAGTTTTTTTCTGAAGTTTGTACAATAAATCATCCATTTTGCTAATGATTGATTTCTATCCTTTATGAAATGTAAAATTTAGTCCTTTCACGTTTTTTAAATTAACTTTTATTTTGTACCAAATTTTCGTCTCAAATATGTTACATTATTATCAGGAGTAAATTCGGGCAAGTGAAAACATAAAAATTTTGCAATATACCAGTTAAAACATTTATGATTATTGTTATTTAAAAATGTAAACATCATTTATAACATAATGTACAAATAAATTGATGCAAAACTAATAACAAATTAATTACAATTTAAGTTTTGAGTGATTTGCTTTGAGCAAGGTATCACACACAGGCCACCTGACAGTTGGGGCAGAAGTATTGCGATTTTCGTCGAATCGCTTTACGACGATAGTGTCGTGTTTTATTACACAGTGCACACGTCCTTGTAGGATCGGCTATCAGATGTGGAAATATTATCGTAAACTGAATCACATTCACTACCAGCATCACTCATTTTAAAACAACATAAACACACAAAAATGATCACATAAAAAACATTACTTAAGTAATTAGCAACAAAAATTGCGTCCGCTAATACCCGCCGATGGTAGGTAGTACTGAAGGGCTGCATGTAATTAATGATAAAATTCAAAAGTTAAGAAAAAATGTATCTTGTGATAATAAGGCAGGTGGTCTTCGAAACTAAATATTAAAAGAAAAAGATTATATTTATTGATTTTAATTTGTAATATATCTCTCTCTCTCCCCCCCTCTCACACACTCTCTCGCTCTACCTATCACTCTCTCTCTCTTTCTATCTCTCTCCCCCTCCCCAATCTTTCACACTGTCTCTCTGTTTCCCTCTCTCTCTTTCTCTCTCTCTCTCACATACTCTCTTTCTCTTTTTCTCTTTCCCTCTCTATCTCTCCCCCTCTCCCCCACTCTCTCTCGCTCTACCTATCACTCTCTCTCTCGCTCTACCTATCACTCTCTCTTTCTATCTCTCTCCCCCTCCTGAATCTTTCACACTGTCTCTCTGTTTCCCTCTCTATTTCTCTCTTTCTCTCTCTCTCTCTCACATACTCTCTTTCTCTTTCTCTTTTTCTCTTTCCCTCTCTATCTCTGTCTCTCCCCCACTCTCTCTCGCTCTACCTATCACTCTCTCTCTCGCTCTACCTATCACTCTCTCTTTCTATCTCTCTCCCCCTCCCCAATCCTTCACACTGTCTCTCTGTTTCCCTCTCTCTCTCTCTCTCTCTCTCTCACACGCACACACTCTCTTTCTCTTTCTCTCTCTCTTTTTCTCTTTCCCTCTCTATCTCTGTCTCTCCCCCTCTCCCCCACTCACTCTCGCTCTACCTATCACTCTCTCTCTCTCTCTTTCTCTCTCCCCCTCTCCACTCCTCGTCCCTGCCTCTCTGTTTCCCCCCTCTCACTCACTCCCTCTCTCTCTGTTTTTGTCTTTCTCTCTCTCTCTTTTTCTCTTTCTCTCTCTCTTTTTCTCTTTCTCTCTCTTTTTTTCTCTCTCTCTGTCTCTCTTCTTCCCTCTCACTCTCTTTCTCTTTTGAATTTTGAATTTCCCATGTTGTCAATCAGTGGAGGCTAATAGAAAAGAAAGTGTCTGTGAGTTCATGGTTGCGAGGTGGTGACCTCGCGTCGGAGCGAAACAATTCGTTATAGAACGTTTACAATTAAATTAATTCAGGGTTTTATTCAAATATCGGGTTAAATGGTGTCTGAAACAGACACGAAACTTTGGCAAAAGGTTCAGGCGAAAAACTGACGCATTTGGACGCAAGTCCTTCAATTATTAAACGCCTTCCATTGTCCATTTGTATCTACTGGTCTGTGACCGGATAGACACATATAAGGGGACGACGGTCGCCTCGCGTATCCAGTTTACCGCAGCCCTCCGACCATGCACTTTCATTGGGTAAATCGATTTTCTACAAGTTCTCAACGTTTTCGAACTGTTAACAGCGATATTAATATGGATTTTCTAGATCTTCGTGTTTTTGGTGAGTTTAGTGTCGGGGATTATCGTCCCATCGGATCCGAGGATCCCTTACATGTTCCCTCCAGGATATGGAACTCTACAGCAAGACGATCAAGTAAGCCGAACTTACTAAAACATTCATAACGCACTTCTCCTTTCCTTACCTACTAAATTTTTTTAAAAATCTGGTCAGTGTAATTGCTCAAAATTTAATTATGTTCAATAGTCTGTGAACCGAGAAACCGGGTCATAAAGAGGACAAATACGTTCTAATCTGATCTTTACGTATTGAATTTTAATTTTTAATAAAAACTTTTTTCTTTGGCTTTTTTGTTATATAACGTTTTTCAAATTTTCAAACAGCAAAATTTAATTGTATACAAAAAAATAGGTTGTTTCTCAAATAATCGATAAATAAAATAAATAAATATTTAAATTGTCTTTCGGCCTCTAAACACGCATCTGAGCACAAATTCTACTAGATAAATAATTTAGTTTAAGATTAATTTAAAAGAGATACTTTTAAACGATTTTTTTTGTCGGAAAATAAACTTGAATTGTCATATTGAATATAAACGGGTAAAAATTTATGAATATGCATTTTTATTAAACCAGGGTATAAGTTATTGTTATTAAAATCACACGATCCAAATTGTATTCATTTCTTTCAAAACAAAACCATTAAAACATTCATAAAAGTTGGTAAAGATTTTTTGGTTGTAAAACTTTTAAACTGGACTTTTGATTCAGTGGATTCGCGACAAGCAAAATTTACTGTTTGTAATGTTTACACAATTATTAAGATTTATCCAAACAAGCAAAGTGAATTAATAAACAATATATTTTAAATGGTTGCCTTTTTCACGTAAAAATTAAAATATGAAATTTCTTAAAGATGTGATTAAAAGGGTTTTAACGATCTGTTTTAAACTACTTTCTAAATTGCAATTTTGCAGGTTAATTATTCAGAAATCGTGAGATGCGGCCTGGTGTGATGTAGGTTTCAGAAAAACATTTTCTTTATCGTGCCAACGTTTCGATCTTTATTGAGATCATCTTCAGGGCTCAAAGTGTTTGTTTTCTGTAATTATGCAGAATTACTCTTGCGTGTCGTGTTGAGAGTGCCCGTGTTTTATTGGTTAATTGGTATTTTTTTGATATAGATGGCTTCAATTATTAATCCTTTGAATACTTTGGACTTAGACTTCTATGGGAACTTTAAACTATTAAATAAAACATTAAAAATGTAAAGTTTTCTCATCAAGCCAGAATCTGTAATAATTTTAGAAACAGTTAAAAACTTTTTTTTAATTGCCACTCGCAATTAGACAAAAATATTGTGTTTTTTGAAATTACTTAATTTCACAATTTAAAAAAATGCAGGGTATGTTCAAAAATTTGTTTTTTTACTATTCAAATTCACATTACGTGAAACGTATAAAGAAAGAAATACAGCTACAACATATAAATTTTGAAAATACAAAAACGATACTGTCTATTAACATTAATTTTTATTATTAATTTTATTTATTTTTATTATTTTGAAACAATTCACTCACACTCTGACCATTTTTCATTCTAAGGGATAAATTCAAAGATAACAAAATCAAAGCATACTGTAAGCAGACGTCACGTTTCAGTTTTATTATTTGTTAGTAAATAATATAGTTCTACATGCGAGCACACTTATATCAATAAAATATTAACTACTAAACCCAATAAAATATTTTTAGGGTGGAGGAATATGAAGTAATCCACTTGCTGAGTGAATTGTATGTAAATAAGTAAGAATGCATTAAAGATTGAGTGAGAGTGAGAATAGAGGAACTGATTGCGGTAGGTGCTAAAATGATCTAGCACTTAGCAGTTGATGGTGGCCCTTGCAACCCAACCTCAGCGTCTGGATGGACAAGACTGCCAATACCCGGGTTGGAGATTATCGAGGCCTGATAGTAATTTATTGTAAATTACAAAAGCTGAAATTGTCGGCAGACTGCGAGAGCATATAAGGTCAAATCTGAACACGCGTGTAGGGGTGAATGCCTGTGAAGCTTGAGCTTAAACAAATCAGTAATCAGCGAACATTTTTCAATAATCGAAAGTTAATTGCTATTATTTTTTATAAAAAAATAATAAATTCCAACTAATAACATAACGATATTAAAAAAAGTAATCAATTAACTCATTTTTTTATGGATTGTTATTTAAATAATGCATTGCTTTTGTAAATAATGAACTAATGGAATCACAATCGATAAACATATTTTCATGTACTTATATTTTATATTAAACAAACATTTTATATTAAATTAAATGTGTGGTGATTAGTGACTGTTAATTGATAATTATTCAGAAATCATGAGATGCGGTCTGGTGTGATGTAGGTTTCAGAAAAACATTTTCTTTATCGTGCAAACGTTTCGATAATCAACGCATATAAACATAAAACAGCAAAATCTCACTGGCACTCTCAACACGACCCGCAAGAATTGCACAATTACACAGAAGACAAACACTTTGAGCCCTGAAGATGATCTCAATAAAGATCGAAACGTTGGCACGATAAAGAAAATGTTTTTCTGAAACCTACATCTAACCAGACCGCATCTCACGATTTTTGAATAATTAAATTAAATAATATGAATATTAAAGCCATTATATTTAGTGGTCTGATTGACAAAAATTACTCCTTTCAATTAATTAATCTTTTTTTATGTTAAGATTTTGGTTGAAATGAAAAAGTTAGTGTCACGAGCGGGATTCGAACCCACGACCTTCGCCTAATTTCTAAATATCAATTTTCTAATTTCAAAATATCAGGTAATAGTTATTTTAAATGTTTCCGGTCATGCATATCTTAGACTTTTACCTCCATATTTTTACAAATAACTGGTAGTTTGAGGAGAGATCACCTGACTATAAAACGTGTAACAAACAAGAATTTCCGCTCCGGGAAAAAACCGAAGTTTTGAGGTATATTGGTTTAATAAGTGTATGACAGTGGTGTGTTGTGGAAGCTAGGACGTCCCTTTGTCAGCCCAGTGTTTTTTGAAGTGCTTTTTGGTGAGGTGAGTTCAACTGGATAAGTTTTTTGACGATTAGAGTCGAAGTCTGCTGGGTGCTAGTTTGTTGCTCGCATTCCCACGAGATAAAAAAGTCAGCGTCACGAGCGGGATTCGAATCCACAATCTTTGGCTAAATACGCCGCTGCTCTACCACTTGAGCTATCGTGACTTCGATCCAATCGGACACAACTTCCCATCTCAACCTCATAAATTATATTGAAATTGCCGAAGTAGGATTGCGTGAGTAAATAGAAGGTTCATAATAGAGCCTAAATGAAACAGGAATGAAATAAAACGATGTTTAAAATATTGCAAATACAGTGAGGTTAGGCAGACCAAAACGATCGGTAACGATCAAAATTTAAAATATCAGCAAATATGTTTTCTTATATTTTGACCTCAACAGTTAATCTTATGATTCTTCCTTCTTGAAGGTGGGATAATAGGTCATCATCATATCAGCAAATAGTTATTTTACATGTTTCCAGTCATGCATATTGTGACACTTTTACCTCCTTGCACTTCATCTCGTATATTTATGATTTTGGGCGGAAATACTGGCTACTATAGAATATAGAAAGACTCAAGAGAGGAGAAAGTTTATAATTTATTTAGAAGGTAGGCAAAGAAAGAAAGAATAGTAGCAAGTTCTGTCTTCGAATGAATAAGATATTCACCCATTGTGCAAAAAGGTTTAAAGAGGAAAGTGATATTTCAAGCTGGACCTTGGTTTAAGTGTAGGAGAATCATTTTATATTTATGTACGTTCAAAATCTTGGTACACATTTTCTCACGTATTGTCCTCTGTTAAGTTACAGACTAATCCCAGCAAATGTTTATATTTAGCTCGTTAAATATGGATTTGCGTCAATTTTCAAAATCAATTTTTTAATCACTTGACCGTAAATTTTTATGGTGGAAAGTAGAAACAACTAAGTTTTCTTACTTTCTTCTTCTAGGCCGTTAGATAAAGTCACGGATTGTAGTTTTTACAGCCGGTATGACAAAAAAAATATCTAAGGATCTCCTGAAATATAGAAAATTGGTTGAAAGCGATTCGGTACGCTCTGCGCGTAACCTGTGCGGCGATCGTGTAAGACGCTTACGAAACATGGGTGTAATGCAAACGGGTTATAAAAATGTGGAAACATGTAAATAAGCACTTCCGGACGACTAAACTTTTATTCTTGAGAAAATGTATCATATTTTTTAGAAATATACTCCGAATGTTACTAATATATTCTTAACAAATTCAATATTTCCACGAGTGTACAACACATACTGTTTGGGTTTATAAACTATATTTAAATTAATTTCGTTTTAGTGGTCAATTGACCAAGTTAATTCTTTGAATTAATTATTCTTTGTATATAAGGTCTTGGATGAAATAAAAAAGTCAGTGTCACGAGCAGGATTCGAACCCACGACCTTCGGCTAAATACACCGCTACTTTACCACTTGAGCTTTTGTGAGTTCGATCCTCCAACCAAGACCTTATATAGAAAGAATAATTAATTGAAAAACGTAACTTGGTCAATTGACCACTAAAACGTAAAACGGATTAATATTTAATAAGTAAAAGATGCATCACTTCATTAAACAGTTCCTCGTGGCTACTTCGTATGTGGCTGAGAATCCAATCCCGATTACACGATATTTGAAAATGGCAAAATTCCAACGGTTGTAGGTTGAGATAAAAAGTTAGTTTGGCAGAGGATATTATTATTAAAATAATATTATACTAATTTCGTGTGTAGAGATTAGTGACCGTTAATCGATAGTTATTCAGATATCGTGAGATGCGGTCGGACGTTATACTAATTAAATATTAATCCATTTATGTTTTTTAGTGGTCAATTGACCAAGTTACTTCTTTCAATTAATTATTCTTTTTATGAAAGGTCCTGGTTGAGATAAAAAAGTCAATGTCACGAGCGGGATTCGAACCCGAGGTTCGAAGTCACGATAGTTCAAGTGGTAGAGTAGCGGCGTATATAGCCGAAGGTCGTGGGTTCGAATCCCGCTCGTGACACTGACTTTTTTATCTCAACCAAGACCTTATATAGACTATATTTAAATGTTTAAATAAAATTTATAGTGGCGAATTCTGTAAAAAAATTTGTAGGCGTTGTTGATAATTGCCTTGTTTGATCGATATTATTTAATTATCATCGTTAACAACCATTCTTCCACCTGTTCACACGAACCTCCTATGTTTCTACTTTCAGCATTACATTCATTGCATGTTGGCTTTGTAAATCTAATAACTAAGAAAAAGGGACTTCATTATTTATTGTTAAACATTTATAATATTTAAATATTCATATTTCATAGAACCTTTCTTCATTTTCATGTCTATTATTCTTGGCCACCTGACTATTTCATTCCGACAAAATACTCACAGATACAAAACTCGACTAATTTTCTTATTTTTCGCTGCATGATTGTTCAAGGACAACGGTTCTGCATACTCCCAGGCGCCGACCAACGTCGAAAAAGCCTTCAACTACCCCTATTTACTCGAAGAGCTCCTCAGACGCCAGCAAAGAGGAAGAACGGCCCAAAGCTACTACTTCATGAGCCAGAATACCGCCAACCAGCTGGCAATCGATTACAACAGAGTCAACGGGGCAGCAGGGAAGACGGTGCCATTTGTTGCACCGCATCTTCAAAAAAGACCAGCTTTCATGACACCGATGCCATATACTTATTAGACTGTCACAAAATTAAATGTACATAAAACTAAGTTTATAATGTAAAATTCAAAAAATTAATTTATTTTGTATAATATTTATAATTGAGACCTTGAAGATGGTAAATATTTTACCTAACTCTAAATATATATTTTGTTAAAAATAAGCTAGATTTGGTTATTTTTACCTTTAAATATTATTTATGATTTCAAGAAAAAATCTATAAAAATCATCACTGTTCAACGTTTAATACGTTATGTTTTAACAATTTGTGTGAATAACTGAAATTGTTTAGAGGTTTAAAAACAAAATTTGTTTCGTATACAATCTCTTTTAAAGTAAGTAAATGGCTTATCCTTCATCTATTGCATAAAGATACATTTCCAGTTATCATCACGATGATATTTCCCTTTCCTCTTGAATACGTTAATATTATAATTCAATATTATAATTATTATTATTCAAAGTAGCAATAACGTTGCCGTTTAATTTAGAAATATTCCCTACCATGAAGCACCAAAAACCTTAAGAGTATCTTTTTTTTTACGATGGTTCGCAAGAGCAGAGGTTACATCAACCCTCAGGGTGCCGATGTTTTAAAAAAAAAGCCCATTTGTAAGTATGTCGAGTTCGAATGCAGGGCCGCTGGATTCGAACCCGATACCTTTACCTTACAGTGATGAGCGCCGTGTCAACGCCTAAACCGTTGCGGCCACCGACTCCTCCGAAGTAGTATGTTCTTTAACGGCTCAAAAATATATCTGAATTAGAGAAAATTTCCATAATATAAGAAAATATATTAGTTACAATATATCAGTGGTATTTTTAATAAAGCAATAAAATTTTAAATATTTGTTACTGCAGTTTAACTAAATTAACATGCTAAGAGTCGCAACCCAGATAAATTATAAAGTAGAGCACCAAGAAAGCACATTTTATGAACTCAAAGACAAAAAAACGGACAGTCGTATTTTGTTGTATATCAATCGAATTAAACGAGATCAGAAATATATAAGTTTTAATTAAAAAATAGATATTTTTAAATAATAATGGTTGGAAAGAAAAGTTTCATTAAAAGTCATAAATTTCTGATTTTGTTAAATTAGGTTTGCATTCAAACAGGTAATTGTAATTAATACAACGGTAAAAATACATATATATTGTATGAAACAAAGAGAAAATCAGAGTGATTATCGTTTTGAGTGTATTTCCAGAATAATTAAAATGAAATACAATTTAAGTGCCAGAAATTTCGTTTGATCTGAAGGTTAAATAAATCAAATGCATGCACAAATAAAGTCAAAACTGTTTAAAAATTGGGGTCAATTTGTTAAAAACGTTCGCCAACCTGTTTAAAGACAAAGAAATTTCAGCCAATAATGAATACAATTATTTGGTGACTTCTGAAAACAAAAAATTAATAAGTAAAAAAAAAAACTTATTTTGTTGCGAATAAAAAATGACATATAAAATAGTGTGTGGTGATTAGTGACCGTTAGTAGATGATTATTCGGAAATCGTGAGATGCGGTCTGGTGTGACGTAGGTTTCAGAAAAACATTTTTTTATCGTGCCAACGTTTCGATCTTTAATGAGATCATCTTCAGGGCTTAAAGTGTTTGTTTTCTGCGTAATTGTGCCATTCTTGTGTGTCGTGTTGAGTCTGCCCAGTCGTTAATTCTGGTGTTTAGTTGTGTTAGTGCGGCATTTGTGAAGTTAAAGTGGTTTTTGATTGTTTTTGTTGTCTGCATTTCAACAAAACTCTCAACACGACACACAAGAATGGCACAATTACACAGAAGACAAACCCTTTGAGCCCTGAAGATGATCTCAATAAAGATCGAAACGTTGGCACGATAAAGAAAATGTTTTATAAAACCTACGTCACACCACGCTGCATCTGACGATTTCCGAATAATATAAAATAGTAACAGATAAAATAAAAATAAATCGAAAGGTAAGCACATTAATGATTATTGAATAAATAGATATTATATTCTAAATACATTCGTCGTATTATCAGCGAAATTTATTCATTAAGTATAACCGAAAAGCTGTCTTATTTTAAATAATAATTAATATGGATAAATCATTGTTAAATACTGTGTTGGCTGATTGTGGGAAATCAAGCTATAATAAATTTAAAATGCCTGATATTCAAGGTGATCTACGTGATGAACTTTCTTGGACTGACCTGTGAACAAAAAAACAGACAGTTGTCAGATTGGTATGTAACTGTATTAAATTAAAGTTATAACTTGAACACACACACACACACACACACACACACATTAAATATCCTAATTGACCTAAAGAATAATTTGGAATAAATTCTGTAAAGATTATTCATCAATTAATGTCATAAGTTATTCAGTAGAACAATTGGTCAAATAGTAAGAAATGGGGTATGTGAAGTTTAAGAAGGTGCTCCAAAAATCGCTTTTTGAATTGTAACATTCTGACGTCTTTTTGTGCAGTTTTAAAATAAAAATTTCTTTTTTACTATTTTTCTTTTATAATGGTAGGCTGAAGTCGATCAGAAAAATTGGTGTAATAGTTGTGAATATGTTTGGGAGGATTTCACGAACTCCAACAAATTGCAAGCTCGTACGCTTTAACTTCAGATCACCAAAATTAAAGCAAACGGGAAAGAAACTACAATTATATTGAAAAAACTTAAAATGTTTGTTCTTCTGGAAAAGAATATGCAGTACTAATACCATGACTAGAAGTATTGGAAAAAAATCATTTAATAGACAAAGTCGTTTCCTAAAACAGGGCAAAGAAAATGATCTCAATTTACAAGTTATAAGTTTGACATAATGTCGCCAAAAGTTTCGAAAACAATCCAATTTCTTTTCTCAAATGAATCAAAGGTTTCATCCCTTTCTTAGCCCTCGCATCCACTGTATACCGGAAGCTGCGAACTGTCAAACGAATGAAATGGTACATGCGTTTCTAGTCCATTAACCTAATACTTTGTACTGCTTTATGTACAGGTCCGCCATAACACGTACATCTGAGGCGGAGAAGACGAAAAATGCTGAGAACAGTATTTATTTGAAAAATCAGACATTTGGTGAATTTTCTCACCTATATAGTGATCTGCAAAACGATGAGCACCACCACTTATACTTCCGAATGATATGGGATACATAATTGCATTTTGGAAAAAATCCACACAAACAAAGATTATACATTCCGCCGTCACAATTATTTTTCCGTTGGCCCATTAATATTTCTTCTCCGGAGGAGAAAAAAATAATTTTTCACAGACCATGGCTGGCTCGGAGGACTCGTTCCAATCCGTTTGTAGGAAAACTCTATTTTGACCCGTTCGGTTCTCACATATAGTTTTAGATCGTTTTTATCATTTTCTCCGATTTCTGAACGCGAGGTCTACATGACTTGCAGTCATATCTGCGAAAATACAGGACCGGTCATCTTCCAAGTTTCTACACGATCCAGCAGTTATTGGCATATTGGGTCTATGTTAAAGTAAGTACAAAAGCGTGATTGAAAACTTCAGTTAAAGTTTGTTCGTAAAGTGTTTGAACAACAACAGCTGACGAAATAATCCATTGTTTTGTAACTCATTAATTATTCTGGGGTAGGGTGAATGTAATTTTTAGTGTGAATGGAGGGTTTATCCCCAGTTACCCTAGAAATATCGAGTTCTCTGGATAATGGCTATGGCTTACAAGCCAATGCCAAAAAAAGTCTTCTGTGTGAAGGTAATTTATTAGCGTGAATAGAGAGGTTTATCCAGCATCCATAATACTTCACAGTTGGACGACTCTGTGGTAGTGGTAATGTTTGTCAAAGTATCATGCTTTACCTAGTTTAGGTTTTTTGGTATATTTGTGCTATTTTATCAACAATTGACGATACCCTGAGATACAGGTAGCCTAGCAATATGATAAAGAAAACAGAGAGTCGGTTGTCGTCCTAATTGGTTGGATCATTGGTTGGAGAAATTGGAGAATAAATTAGTACATCCATTAGATTTTGTTGTATATTGACCAAATTACTTCTTTCAATTAATTAATCTTTGTATGTAAGGTTTTGTTGAAATGAAAAAGCCAGTGCCACGAGCTGGATTCGAACCCACAACCTTCGGCTAAATACACCGCTACTTTACCAACTTGAGATTCAAATGAAAAATTTTGAAATATGGCAAAATTCAAAAGGTGGGTTGAGATGGGAAGTTGGTGTCCGAGCGGATCGAAAGTCACGATAGCTCAATTGGTAGAGCAGCGGCGTATTTAGCCGAAGGTCGTGGATTCGAATCCCGCTCGCGGCATTGGCTTTTTCATTTCAACCAAAATCTTACATAAAAAGATAAATTAATTGGAATAAATTAATAGGTTTAAAACGCGAGAAATGCAGGGCAAGGACCAATGCCTTGCCAACCCTAAACTTAACAAAACTTACATCTACTATTAAATTTATATTTAGATACGTTATTACATTAAACGCAATGAGGAGGTTTCGTAAGTTAGTAAGATTGTAAAATGTAAAGATCGACCAGCATTAATTTTATTTTTGTTATTATAGTAAATGTAATAACGAACTTTTGGGGGCTGAAATCACCCAGATGTCGGAAGCCCCAGCAAAAAAAAAAAAAAACGAACTTTTAGTTAGTTATACAATACATAGGTAATTATATAATTTTAATATACAATACCATTTCTTTTACAATCAAATTAATTGTGCAATAACCATCCCTAATTGTGTAATAGGATCTTTAAATATATGTACCGCCAAAGCGTAAATTATAATTATTTAGTTATTAACAATATATAATTGGGATTCCTGTGACATTCTAAATAAGAAATAATAACTATTTATTTTCTGATATGAATCGCGAAACAGGGTATTGAATAGGTGAAAATGACACAACACATTAATTTTACAATTTTTGTACTTAGAATTTCTATGTATCGCGATAATAATAATTTATTTTTATAATGAATAATTTAAGTGATATTCAAATTGATTTACTGGATGAATGTATTGTACGTTTATCAATGTTTAATCCGTATTTGTCTAGTAGCCATATTCGACCATAGTTAAAACGTGTCCTTCCAAATACTCTTTATCT